CTGGAAATTGTGGCTAAGATCAATTGTGAACTAGTGGTCTCCAGTCCTCAGGTGTAGGCCATTTGATGCTCAGTCATCACAGCCAAATTTCACTGAAAACCTACCACACCACGGGAAGAAGATGTGATTTATGTTTGCATAATAAAAAGCGCTGGGAAACTATCAGCTTAGCAAAAACAGCAGTGGCAGTTGGGGCCTTCCCACAATTCCCACAAGGGTCAGGAGAGTCCCAAGAGAAATGAGATGAAAACAGGAAGAACAGGGACTATTGATTATAGGACTAGCATGACTTCCCTCCCTGTGGTCAAACAAAAGATCTTGGTGGTCAACCCCACAGATTATAAAGTTCTAAGACAGAACCATTGCCTTTCAGATTCCCGCTTCCCGGGAGCCAATTTCAGGTTAGGCAGAAATTGGGCAAAGAAAAGAAACACCAAAATCATCCTCTTTCCTCTCCACCATGCCCTTCCTGAAAGAACTGAGCATCCTTATATGAAGAAATGGAAGAACCATGTTCTAAGTTTGGTGCTGCATATATACTGACTTCAGGAGTCAGGAGACATAGGTTCTAGTCCTCTGGAACAACAGTGGTTACACTGAATGAGGCCCAGTAATGGTTTGCAAAACCTGAATGCAGAAGACCAGGAGGGGACCTAGGGACCCAGGAGAGAGACCGAGACACTAGAATGGCTGCTCTTCCTGTTGTATCTTAGGCTTCAGCCAATGGCTGCCAAGTCATTTTCTTCAGTAGGATTCAGTTTTACCAGCCTTCATTCTAACTAATGCCAACTTTCAATTGCCTCAGGACTCACAATCCAGTTTATCAACGTCCCAAGACTCTTTCCAAAATGTTTTGTAAATCTTAAAGTGCCATATAAATGTGGGTTATTATTAGTTCTTCCCATCATTTTTGGCCACCATTTGCCATCTTTACCAGAAGGTAGGGAGGGTAGAGGAGGTAAATGAAAGTTCAATTCCGCTCCTGGTAAGTAAAAAAGCAAAAAAACTGTCTCAAATTTCTAGAAGCACTTTATGAAGTGCTTCATTTGATTCCCCTGGAGTGTATGTAATTTGCTATTTTCATCATTTTACAGAACAGAATGTTGAGGCTCAGAGAGATTAAGGAACTTATTTGATTAGTCATATGGCTTTTAGGTGGTGGATCTAGGATTGAACTCAGATCTTCTGGCATCAAGATTACTGCTCTTTCCACAATCTGCTGTCTTGAATAAGTTAGAAGAAAGAAAAAGTTGACACTATGGGATAAAGCAAGACTTTTGAAGTATTTGTGGCTTTAAATGATCATTGTCACCCATTAACCTGATCAATAAGGATGGGAGAATAGGTTGAGGTTCTTAAATGTGTAGGGAAAATGAACTGGACAACTTTGGTAAAATATCTTAAAAGGAGAACACTTAAAAAGCATGCAAATCTGTCACGTGAAAGCAATGTGAAGACAGGGAATGCAAAGTAGGCTCCCTCAGCTACCATGCAACATATGGTATTCACTATTAAGTTATCAACTTAAATGCACTAATGCTACATGGCCCACTGTGTGCAAGTCAGTGCAGGACAAATTGGCCAATAGTGCCCACAAGACCTCTGAGAGCATGGGAAGCCTGGGAACCTATTCATTAGTTCTTGGCAATCAACACCATAACAAGGTCCATTCCCAGGATGTAGCTGAATTCAAGGCATAGTGCGTTTACTGATCTACTGTAAGAGTTTAAATGTGAAATCATATTATAAAATGGTAATAGTTTGTGGTTGTGTTGAAGTACAAGAAGATCCACACAGTTTTTACAAGTAGTGTGGGAGGTGGGGGAAGAGACTCCTGGCCATGTGAGCAACAAGATAGTGGATGAGGTATTTTCTCTCATGCCCATGACCTCCCAAACCTCTCTAAAACAGAAATTACGTGCCAAAAATAAAGCAATGTCAGCTGTCTCCCTGGTCTGGGACACCCAGAATCCAAAAGAAGGTGAAAAAAAAAAGATTCCTCCTTTAAATTCATTTCACACCCCCTACCTGACCACTCAACATGTGATGAGCAGTAAGGTCACACTAAGTGACCCAAAGATCAGATCAACAGGTTTGCAACAGAACCCATGCCTACAGCCTGATCCCCCCACCCTCTTTCCAAGGCCATGGAGATCTGGGCTGACAGCTATGACAGTATCATTCTCCATTGCAGGACAATGGAGGGAAAGGGGCTGGGCACTTGAAATAGGGCCCAACTTTGTTCTAAAGCCAGTGAGACCTAAACTATAGAAACCAACCCCATAGAACCAGCAAGGCAGCATTCTTACCAGCTGGGGACAGGTTAGAGAACTGGGGAACAGAAAGTGTGGGAGAAGACCCTGGAACAGGACACTGGGTGAGAGAGGACTGTGTGGTGCTTTATCTAGCCTGAGGTAAGAGCCAAGCATCCAGCTGGGGCCAATTTGGACTCCCTTCCACCCTACCACAAGTCATGTGGGACAGAAACTGAGGCTGGTGAACCATGAATTGCTCATTGTTACAGGAGGCTGAGACCTTCTGGATCCAGCCCCCAGGGAACCCACCATCAGAGAGGAAAGAGTCAGAAAGTGAGCAAGAAGGAAAAATAGGGAGGAAAGGCTGAATTACCAACGGTCTTAGGAAGAAGAAAAATCAAAAACCTTGAACTGCTTCAATCAATAGGTAAACTCAACAGCACAAGGAAATATTGTCTGCAGATCTAGTAAATGAGTTCAGGCATCTAAGAATAAATACTTCCAAACTAAGCCCAGTGTGCTCTACCCTGAAAATTTCAGCTGAACCATAAATGAAAAAGGATGGACATTTAATAATAGAGAGGTGTTTGAAACATTCTTAGAAAGAAAACCAAAACCAAAGAGGTTATTTGCTTTTTGAACACCCCAAACACAGAATTGTAGGAGTGAATGAATGCTGAATCCAAGGACAGCAACAGCAACAGAGTAACAGCAGAGAACAGTAAGAGACTTCTTTCTAAATGTACATGAGACAAGGATGAAGGTAGAAGTCAGGAAGAGGGAACAGTGAACAGAATCTGGTGACACCCTGCCTACAGACAGAATCGATGGTTTTTTGTAGGACTACATTATAAAATGGGAGTGGGTACAAAGGGGAAAGGAGATAGGGGCATAGAGGGGAGTGTGTGAGGTGCCCAGATCAAATCAAAGGCTATCAATGAGAAGGTGACCCCTATTGTATCTGAGGAAAAGATCTTGCAGAGGAGAAAGAGGAAAGACTGAAAAGAGGGAAAAAGGACTTGCCTTGGTGGTAGAAGGGGATTCCATTGAAGAGTATTCCTATGGGAGAAGAGTAATATGTTGTGAAAGGAGATGTGGACCTTGTGTTGGGTGATGTCTGGGAGATTTGGTGCTTGAAAAGACAATTTATCCTACCTTGGAAGAGGGTGAGTTGGAACTTCTGGAAGCAAGTGATATCTGGGGGAGTGGGAGGGCATGGACCCAGGGAGGAGATTTTGAGGCAAATGGGGAAAAAAAGTAACCAAGGGCAAAGTATAAATCAGTGATATGCTGTATAATCAGGGATGAGGGTGGGGTGTGTGAGTCTGGCTTTGTTTTAAGAGTAAGGAACAATGAAAAGGGAATCCAAGAGACAACAAGCTCTCTAAGTGGCAGAAACTACATAGAGGGGACAGCCCAGAATAGACAACTCTGCAAGTTTTATTCCATGAAGAATATGAAGAAGAGAGAGGGACTAGATGATTATTGGGGTCATGAAACAAAGAATAAGGTTCCAGAATAGATAGAATGAGAGGATTGATAATTAAGTTAGAGAACTCTTCTCTGGAAAGGGGTGAAAAAAATGAAATTTTTAAAAAAAAACCTAATGAACAGGAATTGAAGAGAAAGAGAAGGAAAGGAAATCTACCTGACTAAATGAGAAAAAAAGGGAAGAATTAAATAACTAGATAAAAGCAGGAAATAAAAAGGAATTAAGAAAAAAAACTCCAAAGGGAAAAGAGTAAAAAAAGCAGGAGGAGAGGATTGGGGGTGAGGGGAAGATAATTAGTAGGCATACAGCCATACTAAAAAAAAAAAAAAAAAAAAGATTAAGCTAAAATAACTGGAGAAACAAGACTGTGTTTACAATGGAAGTGGGGGGGGGGTCTTAACTTGAAACAGCCCAAATATTAGAGATAAACGGAGGAAAATGTAAACCTAACTCTCATAACTTTAAATGTGACTAGATTAAACAATTCAACAAAATGAAAAAGAATAACAGATTGGATAAGAAAAGAAAACCCTGAAATTTGCTGCTTATAAGAAACATCTAACAAACAAAGACATAAGCAAAATAAGACTGAAGGAATGGAAAAATATTTACTATGCATCAAGTGAATTAAAAAATGCAGGAGCTGCAATCTCGCTATCTCACAAAGTAAAAACATTCAAAAATCAGAAGGCATAAACAAGAAACTACACTATGCTAAAAGGAACCACAGCTATCAGTAAAAAAAAAAAAAAAAAAACTTATATGCTCCAAACGTCTTAGCACCCAAATTCATGAAGGAAACATTAACCGATCTACAAGAGGACAAAGACAACACAACAGTGACAATCTTGCTCTCAGTTTGGGATGAAGTCTAGCAGTAAGATAAAGAAAAGGGAAAATATGGAACTGAACAAACTGTTGGCAAAACTAGAGGTAAAAGACTTATGATGTCTTCTAAATGCGATTGCAAAAGAATATACGTATTTCTCAGCACTACGTGTAACTAAAAAAAAGAGCATGTATTAGGGCACAGAGATTGCAAACAGATGTAAAAAAGTAGGAATATTAAATATATTCTTTATAGAATATATTTATATAACACAATAAAAAAAACAGTCAGGGACCACAAACAAAAGACACAGAAGCAAGTGGTGACTTTAAAATGAAATATTAATAATGAGTGGGTCAAAAAACAAATCATGGGAACAATTAATAATTAAGCCAAAGAAAATTATAATGATGAAATAACATACCAAAATTTCTGGGTTGCAGCTAAAGCAGTCCTCAGGGGGAAAAAAATTATATTCCTACAAATATACATTAAGAAAATAGAAAAAGAGAGAATTAATTAACTGAATAAGCATTTTAAAAATTAGAAAGCCAACAAATAAACCTAAAATAGGCACAAGAGGAGTTATTTGAAAGTATAGAAATAAACTGGAAATTTTAAAAAATAGAAATAATAAATAAAAGTAAAAGCTGGTTCTTTGAAAAGACCAAAAATTTTGATAAACCTATTAATTAATTAAATAATCAATCAACCTATTAATGTGATTAAAAAGAAGAGGGCAGAAAATTAAATCAATTAAACAGTAAATGAGTAAGGTGAAATCTCAATAAAACTAGGAGAAATAAAAATGTTCAGAATATATCAAGTGCAGTTATATGCTAACAAAATTGAGAACACAAAAGAAATAGAGGATTACCTTCAAAATTATATAGTATCCAAACTATGAGGAGACACAGAAAGAGATCTTAACCCAATCTTAGAAAAGGAAATAGATCTAGCTGTAAAGGATGTACCAAATAAAAAAACTTTTGGTCCTGATGAATTCACAGGAGAATTCTATCCAACTTTTGAAGAATAATTAGTGCCCATACTTCACAAATTATCATAAAAAAATTGAAAAAAAAAGCACCCTAATAGAATCCTTTTATGAGACAAATATAGTCCTAACACTCAAATCAGGGAAAGAAAAAACACAGAAGGAAAATGATAGGCCAATATCACTAATGAATATTGACTCAAAAATTTATTTTTTTCCCCTTTGTATTTAATATTTTATTTTCCCCAATCTACATGTAAAAACAATTTTTAACATTCTTTTTTTAAAATTCTGAGCCCCAATTCTCTTCCTTTGTCCTGTCCCCCCTCATTAAGAAGGCAAGCAATTTGACACAGGTTATACATGTGCAGCCATGCAAAACATATTTTCATATTTGACTCAAAAATTTTAAACAAAATCCTGTCAAACAGTGATTTATCCAAGAAATTACTCATTATGACCAAATGGGATTTATATCAGAAACGCAAGTTAAACATTAGGAAACCAATCAACATAATTAAATATTAAATATTAAAACAATATTAATAACAAAACATCCCAATCTACATGATTATCTCAAAAGATGCTGAAAAAAATCTTTGACAAAATATAGCACTGTTTCATGCTAAAAACCTTACAAAGTATAGGCATAAAATAAAAAGCATCTATCTAAAACCCAAAACAAGCATCATATGCAATGCGGATACACCAGAACCTTTCACAATAAATACAGGAATGAAACAAGAATCTCTACTTTCCTCACTATTATTTAATATAGTTTTGGAGATGCTAGCAACAACAATGAAACAAAAGAAAAAAATCAAAAGCATAAAGATAAATCAAGATGAGATAAAACTATCTCTATTTGTTGATGATATGACAGCATACTTGGAAAATCCTAAGGAATCAGCAAAATACTAATGCCATTGATGCAGTTAGGTAGAGCAACGGATGGAGTGCTGGACCTGAAGTCAGGAAGACCTGAGTTCAAATCTGACCTGAGACACTTACTAGTTGTGTGACCCCAGGCAAGTCACTTAACCTGTTTGCCTCAGTTTCCTCAATTGTAAAATGGGTATAATAATAGTACCTACCTCTCAGAGTTGCTGTGAGGATCAGATGAGATTACATTCATAAAAAGTGCTTAGCATAGTGTCTGGCATATAGTAGGTATTATAAAAATGCTTATTCCCTTTCCCCAACTGAGAAAATTTCAGCAAAGTTGCAAGTTATTTTATAACTAAAAAAATCAATTGCTTTTCTACGTGAAAAACACAAGAAGCAATAATAGAAGGTGAACCTCATTCCAAAGAACTACAAAATGCATAAAATTTCTGGGGATCAATCTACCACAACACACAAAAGATTTGTATATATTCAATTACAAAGTGCTCTTTAAAAAATAAAAGACAACTTAAATAACTGGAGGAACATTAAACGCTCATGGCTAGAGGATGACAATACTACCAAAGATAATTTTCATTTTTAATGCTATATCAATTAAATTACCAAGGGGATACTTTATAGAACTTCATAAAATAATAACAAAATTCATTTGGAAAAGCAAAAGATCTAGAATATCAAGGGAAATGATGAAAAGAAGTAAGGAAGAAGGGAGAACAGCATTTCCAGACCTCAAACTACATTATAAGGCAGCTATAATATAAAGTATATATTATAAAGCAACTATATTATAAAGTCATCAAAACCATCTGGTATTGGTTAAAAGAGAGATCAATGAACTAGACAAGGGAGAATCAGTAACAATGAAACTCAATAACCCTATAGAAAAAGCTGATACAAGTGGAAAACAAATTGACTAGGGAAAAACTCTTTATCTGATAAAAAGTGCTGGGAAAATTAGAAAATAGTCTAGCAGAAATTAGGCTTAGATCAACACCTTGTACCACATTCCAAATGGATGTGACCTTAATATTAAATATCATATCATAAAAAAAATTAGAACAGAAGTAGATCACAGTTATGGATAGGAGATCAAGAGATAGAAGCAATTACAAAAGATAAAACAGATAACTTTGATTACATGAAACTGAAAAGCTTCTGCAAAGACATTAATACATCTAGGATAGTAAGGGAAGTGGTTAAATGAGGAAAAAATTTTGTGTCAAATTTCTCTGACAAGGGTTTGTTATCCGATATATATAAACAATTAACAAAAATGTATAAAACTAACAGTCATTCTCTCAAAGATAAGTGGTCAAAGGATATGAAAAACAGTTCTGGAAAGAGCTGCAAAGTATTCATGACCACATGAAAGAATTCTCTAAATCACTAATGATAAGATAAATGCAAATCAAAACAACTCTGAGGTTTCACCTCACAACTTGCAAACTGGCAAAGATGACAAAAACTGGCAATAGCCAATGTTGGAGGAGTTACGGAATGACAGATACACTAATACACTGTTGGTGGAGCTATGAAATGGTACAATCATTTTGGAAAGCAATTTGGAATTATGCAAGTAAAGAGACTAAAATTCCATACTCTCTGAACTAGAGACTCCATTACTGGGCTTATACCCCAAGAAAGCCATTGATAAGAAGTCCCCATATACACTAAAATATTCATAGTAGCACTTTTTGTGATAGCAAAGAATTGGAAACAAAGTGGATGTCCACTAACTGGGAAATGGTTAAACATACTGTGATACATTAACGTAACTGTGCTATAAGAAATGATGTGTGTGATGAATACAGAGAAGCATGGAAAGATTTATATAAACTGGTACAGAGTGAAGAAAGCAGAACCAAGAAAACAATACACACAGTAAACACAACGTTAATGGAAAGAACTACCACACACACAAAAATCAAAAGTGAATGTAACAAAATTATAAAGATCAAGCAGGACTCAAAAGAACAGATAGGATAGGACACTCCTAACTCACCACACCTTTTTGGGGGAGGTGGGAAGAGAACAGGTGTTATAAAATGCACATATTTTCAGATCTTTTCAATGTGTTGGCAAATTGTGCTGACGTTTTATCCTCTTTAAAAATACTGTTTGTTACATAAGATGGTTTGCTAGGGGTGGAAGGAAAACAGATACTAGAATAATTATAATGATGTAAGACACAGAGGATATCAATAAAAATTTATTTTAAAAAATAAATTAAAATGGTATGAGGTAGGAAGAATAAGAATGAAAAAAATAGTCTAAGAAATCAAATTTGGCAGTAGGAGAGTAGAGAAATATGGCTAATGAAGCGTGCTTTAAGTAGAAGGAAATCTCCTTCTCATCAAACCACAAAGATTTCAGAAGGTTTCCATAATGGCTTACAAATAAAGACAGGCACGGATGCAAGCACATATGTGACCCTACAGATGAGAAAGGCCTGAAGAGTTTAATAACTGGATTAGATTCAATTCACAATTTTTAAGCAGCAATTACCACAATTATCAATAAATAAGTTGTGATAATAAGGTTTATACCTCAGAAAGCTTTCTGGTTTAATCATACCATCCACATCACTGGGACAGATGAAATAAAGTATACTAAGGGACTTACAGCTAAGTTTTTCAATCAGATGTGTCAGGTGACTATATGACTGACACAAAAGGAAAAGGAAAAGACAGAAACACCACAATTCTAAGTCTTAGAAAGAGTTTGCTTTCCCAAACAAAGTAACATGAGGGAGTTCTATAGAACTAAGTTACTACCAAATCAGCTCCCCCCCCGAATCTTCAGGAAACATCACATTACTGTTCTCCAACTTACGTCTCCTGCCATCTTCCATAATGAATTTGCTTCAAATCCTATAAATTCTCATTTTGTCTCTCTGATAAAATGTGGAAGCTGGGGGGACTTTGGAGACATTTGGCTGGAGCACTGAGAAGTGAAATTCCTTGAAGCATTCACAGGTCTACGTTTGAGGTCAGACTAGAAAATGAAGCTGTAGAAGTCTGGCGATGAAAATGCTGTGTCAGGAACCTGGACAACATACATATCAACATTACAGAAGAGTCAGCGAATACGCTTACAGAATTTTTGATGCAAGGCTCTGAAATGGTACATTCATATGCTGATACTACAAAAAAAAATCAGATCAGTTGTGAGTCATGAGGTTTTTCAGGACACAGAAACACACTTCAAAAGGAAACTGGTCTGTGTCTCCTTGAAAACAAAGGCTAAGCCAAATGGAAAATTGAGGCAATTACTCAATTTAATAAACATTTATTTGGTACCTTGTTCAATACACTGGGCATTAGGTAATGGGGATAACAAAGATGAAACAAGACAGTTCCCGCCCGCAAGGAGCTTACAATCTAATAAGTGTATGAGATATGTACAGAAATAAATACAAGGCGAGTTAGAATAAATTATTACATGCAATGGAGGACAAGTGGGAGCAGAGGAGGGCTTGGATCAGGGAAGGCATTATTAGAGACAGCACCTGAGTTAATCTTGTAAGGAAAGAATGGCTTTCAATAGGCAGAAAGATGTTGGGGGAAAACCATTCC